GCTATTTAGAGGTTAAACATTTAAACTGGTTTTGATTAGATATTTAGATATGCCTGTACCGGAAAGTAAAGTCGGTGAAAATATTACAGTATGTGTCGCTGATCATTAACCATCTATATTGAATGTTTTTAAAAAAAATAAGTGCCATTCGTTTAAAGATTATTCAGCTAACCATTAACAAAAATATATTTACGAAAAAAGAATCACCAAACGTTTATAGAGTACATTACAATAGGTAAATCTGAACATGAAATATCATAATACTGTAAGTACTTAGAATATTGATTGATGAGGCCCATGTCATGCTCAGTATGCTAAAAATGTACTTATGTTTTTTTTAGAAAAGCAGCAAGTTTTGAAAAAAAATGGTAGACGAGCTCGCAACTTCTGTGGTTCCACCACTGTCATCAGAAAACGGCTTGGACAAGACAACAACCATTTTGGCTGCAGTGCTTGCCTCTGCTATTGTCATCTTGTGTCTTGCTGGTGCTTTACTCACCTACATCACACTAACTTCCAGACGGCAAATCAGACGTGCACAGGAGGAATTAGAAGATTTCCAACAGAAAATATTGTATAACAAGGGGAGAAGAAGATCAGAAATCTTAGGCAAACACATTTCTGATTTTTGTGGATGTGCCTGCGACCGAAATCCACCTGGCGTACCAAAAAATCTTGCGTGTAGCTGCAATAAAACTTCAGCAACAAACTCCGCTTTTTCGGTGTAGTCGGTGACTGAGTTGGAGCCTGGTGGCTTAAGCATGCGACACCTTGAAATTTATAAAACTAGGTCAATGGGTTGGTATTCGAGTTCTTTCCAGATAGAACATTAATTCAATGGACATTGCATATTATTATATCCAGAACTGTTTGTTGTTTTTTTTTTTTCTACATATGTGTTTAATATCTTATTTAATTATTATCAAAGCCATCATCGAAATAATTTTAAGCCAGGAATTCAAAGGGGGGGGGGGCTGCGGAAGGACTTTCACAGATATAAGGTCCGCCCCCTCAGCCACCATGGTTGGCGCTGAGGAAAGAAAAATGTATGATTATGCCACTTATAATCATACTTAAATTTTTCTCCATTTTTAAATAACTTTTTATGAATTTGAATCCGCCACCGTGTGGTTTTATATGATTAATATTTTCTTAATATTTTGTTATATCATTGATGTATTGTAAATACAAAGTTGTACATATATGAATACCAAAATAAAAGAGGAACGAAAATTGATTGTAGTGACAGTTTCTCTTATTTTTCATAGCTAGTGATTTGTGCTTTAATGATAGAAAAACCTAAAAATATTCGATTATAAAATTAAATACCGGTAGCCCATTAAAAAGTCCTTAGCTTTCAACGAAACGCATATATAGATCTAAAATGATTATTTCAATTGTTACTGAATTCAAAGATGATAGAAAAGCATTGATTACAAACTGTAGTCTAATTAACAACCTATGTCCGTTCTTCATTAATTTGTTTGAAGGGCCAAACTATTTTTAGAGTTGATATGACGGGCCAAAGATATCAGCCGAGTCGAAAAGTATCGTTATACATCTAGGTAAAACTCTTTTAAATTGTACTAGGCCTACACCAGCGATCACGACCCATTTGGGTGGCGGGAAATTTCTGTGTGGACCTGGTTACCAGTTTAATAGTCGTCAGTTAAAATACAAAAAGTTTTCCGCAAGTACACAGTACGGCATATAGGATTTGCGAAATGTATTTTTGTGAGCACTGTCTGTTGATACACCAACTTTTTATTCCCTGTAAAGTAGAACAGGCTATTAACGAATCACAGTGAACAGAACAAAATACGAAAGTCGGCGTGATGCTAATTCAGAATGTCTTGAAAAGAAGGCGACGAAACAATGATCATAACAAAACACAGAGGCAGCACTTGGCGTCATATGGAGTCCTGTATGACTTGAATTATTTGCAGGACAATTGAAATGTATTTGTATAAGCACTGGTTCTTTGGTTAACTAGCTGTTTATTATAATGTAAAATAATTAGGCTTACGAATGTTATTGACGATAAAACCCAACCCCATAACCAATGGCGGCGTGATTTAACAATGAGCTTCTACTATATGAGTCTCAAATTATACATTCAATTGCAATCCTTAAACTGTTAACATGTCTATGACGTTTTTATTTCCTCTTGGCTGCTATACTAACTATAGAAGAACTGTCTAATTAGTAGGCCTATACCATGCCATTGGGAGGTTTTTTTTTTTTTTTTTTGGTTTTTTTTTTTTTTTTTTTTTTTTTTTTTTTTTTTTTTAAATAGTTCTGTTTAGTTAAATTTTAGATCTGAGTGGGGTAACACCTAAATAATCATAACGCGCTTATGGCTTTGTTTAGCACACAGTGAAGAATGGCCACGAAAAGTACCCAGTAGGCCTAATCAATTTTTGGCGCTATTTAGGCTGTCTATTTAGGGACCCAGTAGGTATCATCTTGCTCATTTTCAAATCGCCTCGTGCACATATTCAGGGGCGGATCCAGTAGGGGGCACTGGGGCACTAATCAAAATTTGTATATAACATATCTGGTTTTGTCTTTAAAAATATTATTTGAATTATTTTAAATATATATAAAAAGTATCAAATTAATTAAAATAAATATTAAGGAGTCACATCTATTATTTAAAATTTACAAATCGGGAGACAGACAACCACTAAAATTTTAAAACTGAAAATTGTGAGAGTATACCGCTGGAGTCAAAAATAGTTTAGTTATTGTTTTCAAAGCGCTTTTAATTACTTAACTTTTTGTTAACCGTTGTGTCTTCGCGTCTTCGTACACCCCAAGTAGCCCGCGCGTACGTTAACTCACTCTCTGGGATCGTAAATTTTAGGAAGGTAGGCCTAGGCCTAGTTATGTATATTGTTTATATTGAAACCCGCGTTTTTACATGAATTATCTCCAGATTGGTTTCTGTGCAAAAGGAAGCCAACATAAAAAGTAGCTTGGTAGGTAGGCCTAAGCCTCTAGGGCCAGGCCTAGCCTAGGCCAGGCCTCTAACTAGATGACTGCGCTGCAGGCCTGAGCTTGGCTTAGGCCGCCTAGGCTAGGCCTACCCGATTCCTAGGTTAGGCCGGCCTCTACTAGGCCTAGCTTAGGTAAGGTAGGCTAGGAAGCCCTAGGCAGGGCTTAGCCTAGGTCTACTTAGCTCAGGCCGAATCCCGACTTATCTTCGAATTAGACTTCTTTACATGTCAACCTAGGAAGGCCAAAAAACATACTGTCCTAGTAGATTAAAGAAAAGGAATAATAATTAAATTAATTAAGAAGGATGGGGTAGGAGGACCTGGCCTAGGAATGACTGGGCTAGGCCCTGTACTATATTTCTCCCTATATTTGTACTTAGGGCCCACTACTAGCTGGGCCTAGTAGTAGTAGTAGACCCCTCTGAAATACTGTAGGACACGGTCTGTTGTCCTAACTAATGTTAGGGCCTATAGACAGGTAGCCCCTGGCTTACTGATAGGCTATAGTATGTATGATTTGTTCTTTTTGGACTTTTAGATATAGTGTAAACTTTTGATGGATTTCATATCATAATGTAATTAGGCCTACCACTTGCTTTTGAATTGTAAATTTATAAATTAATTAAATATTTTGCTGCCATTGTATTTTATGCTTATTTTACTTCATACAGTAAATATATAAAAGTTCAATATTTCAATTTACATACAACTGCAAACATTGACATAGATTTTGACACTTTACGGAGCCATTGTAAATTGAATCCATTATAACCTAAGATTCTATGTTCAGTGAGCTACACATTTATCCACTTTCGCTGAGCTCACTATATATCAGACTTGTTTATATTATTTAAAGTATTTTTTAAAACCTAATTTAACTTTGTGTTTTGCAGTTGGAGTCATCCATGGTTATAATACACCTTATAAGTATAATAGTTATTACTATCCATGTGTCTTATATTGTATGCCATAGAATTAAGGTCAATGGCCTGTGTGCTTCAGGTTTAGTGCTTTCAAATTACATTCTATTAATATTTACTCTGTGCTATATATATGTGTCAGATATCATGAAACTTAATACTGTTATTGTATTTAAATAATGCTTGGGAATGTGTAGATGATCAAGAATATGGCCTGGCCTAGAGCCTTGATAGGCCCATAGCATTATTTAGTTGTAAAAAATGGTGATATATATTTCAGACTTTTATGAAAGAATGATGGTATACTGATGAACTAAGTTATGGGTAAAAAGAAAAAAAGGAAAGCTACGCACCCCAAAAGGATAGACCCAACCGAAGAACAGAATAGAGTTCGAGAAGCAGTGTTAAAAGGTACATTTAATTTTAGGCTGTGGATAATTGCATCACCATATACAGATAACAAAATTATAGGTTGACAACCATCTCATTGTGCAAGTTTGTTGCATTATGCTATTATCTAAATATTTTTGGGTGACCGGGGCCCTACTGTACTGTTAATAATTATGCTGGTTTTGTTCAGGAGAAGTTGGATGAATTTGACCCTATTTATAGGCCTAGACTAAGTGGTGGCTCTTCATCTTCATAAAGTAGGCTACAATGGGTTTAGCTTCTGGTTAAACAGTCTCATATCAATCACTATCGTAGGAGGTTAAAATTCATCACCTGTAAGAGTAAGCATTAATTATAAACATATTATAAACAGACCTATAACATATATGTTTCTTTTTACTTTTTATCTTTTTTTATGGTTAATGTTGGACACCATTGGAAATAATTTTTGTTTTTTTTTTGGCTTTAATAATAATAATTATTCTGGATTATGGCTTTATGGGTTATCCTGGTTTCATGTTTTAATGTTCTATGTTTTTTTTTGTAATTTTATCTATATAATGTTGAAACCGAATAAAAAACAAACAAACAAATGTATAGATAGATTCATAATTAAGCATAAAATGACCATTGTAAAACTACTGTTAAATTTTTATAACAAAAATTAGGAGATGTGAATTTGTTACTTCAACTTTCTTGTTTCATGTTTGAACTGAAGTATTTAGAGCACGGGTTTCATCACCAGGAGGTGGTCCTGCAATTATGCTTCCAGCTCAGCAACCTGGTCAGTATGCTTATATTTTACTTTTACCAGTATTTATTTTATTCTGATGTTATTTTGAATGTGATTTCAACCTTATATACAAAATGTAATCATCTAGACACCCAGACATGGGAAAAATTTCTGTTCCTACAGATCTGAACGTTGTTTGTACAACCATACTAATTGTCTTGCATGTATAGTAACTTGACTATACTAAACATAACAGTAACATCTAAAATTGTCAATTTTCCTTCAAAAAACTTACTAATAAATGTTTTTTAAAATTTGCTAATTTTCTGCAATTCCTAATTGCACTTTCGAAACTTTTTTTAGTTGTGATGAGATACTGAACATTTTTGTATGATCTGAATGATGTAAACATTTTCAGTAATCATTATTTTCAATAGAAAAGTCAATGAGTGACCTGCAGCTAATAAGTATTCCCAATCGGCAATCTAGCGAGGATGAGATGATTATTGTTGATAAAGTTTGTATGACATCGATTGAAAAAAACGCAACAGCTCAGAAAACAACTTTGCAAAAAGAGAAAAAGAAGAAATCTAAAGGAGAAAGGAATAAAGAAAAAGAAATTAGGAAGCATACTGAGGTAAAGAACTACCATAGTGTTCAAATATGTCAGTTAGATCACTCCTCCCTGGTCAGACACATCTGATAATATTGTTTCACTTCCACTGATAGGAAAGAAACAATAAAGCTTTGTCCAGGATAAGAAATTTTCCTTGACAAAAAACTGTTTTATGCCCATATATAGTCATATTTTGCACATATATGGTCTTGATGTGATGTCATTCTGATCAAATGTAGGCATGTCACATGTTTAATGTCAAATAAAATTTGATAGTCTGCACAGGGCTTTAGTTTGATCAGATATGTCTGAAATAAGCAGTAGCATTGAGAAGCAGAACAGACATAATAGTGCCTGGAACCTGGGTTAACTATATTATATAAGATTTCAAAATCTTTATACCTACTTCTTAAAATTAAACATCTAAATACCTGAAAGGCTGGAGCTTCTCTGGATTCTTTTCCACAGAACATAACTGGGCCTTCCACATGTCTACACTGGGCTCGAAGCTTCCAGACACTGCCATTTGGGCTCCCCGGGGCACAGGTGTGCTTTTGGTGAATAGAAATAATCATACACAAAGTATCATCAATTTTGGTTATCTACAGACAAAAAATATTGTAGTGGCTGTACTGCTTAAGAAAGTGGTGAGCTTTGGAAAATTTCTATACATTATCAATCACTCAATTGGTCATTACCTGCTTTTGAATTCTGGCTGACTCATAGTTACCATGTCCTGGTATATTTTAGGTGGACCATCAAGCAAGAGCTGAATTCAGAAAACATGTCAAGCGAGCTGATGAAATTGTTTTTGTAAGTTTTTTTTTATATATATAGACATAGGAATTGGTAACATGCATTTCCTAAATGACAAATTGTGTAATTTAATTGAAATGTGTGATGCAGTGTTAAGACTTTGGCATCAAATGAAATAATCCTGAATTTAAAATCTTTACTGATCTCAAGATGCAAGATTAGATTTATTGTCTCCAACGAAAACAAAGAAATTACAGAGCTCGCAAAAAAAAATACAATTAAAACAAAACCACATTAAAGAATTGATAATTGCTTTTGTTGTTGTGCAAGATACCCCATTAGATAAAAAACTGCAGTGCATACAAGCAGTCATCCTGATCATATCAGATAGTCACAGCAAAAACAAATAAATTTAAGTTGAATTATTTCCCTGACAGTCTCTGTTTATTCTCTAGAAATCAAAATTGGGGAAAACATGCTCATCACAAGGTTATTCAACTATTACTCAGAGTCGCCTAACGGTAAGATGGTAAAATATTTATGCCGCATTCAGTTTAGAAATATTTTTAGAAATAAAGAAAAGTATGTAAATAGCAACATTTTAGCATCTTTGGCCAAGTATTCTATCCTACATCAAAACATAAGAGTAAAATTGTTTGAAATGAGCATGTTTTTGCACTTTTTTCACAGAGAAAACTTGGACTGTATAATCAAGGTAAAAAGTCTGATAGGGTTCTAAGAGGTAGGTATTGCCTTAATATGTAACATAAAAACATTTGTATTACATTATTCCAAACCAATAAATATATTTTGTATGTTGTATAATATTTATATACTACAAAAAACAACTTTTCCCTCTCCTATCTCTCTTCACTTATTCATTCATTCATATTTTCTTGAATTTTATTCTACTTTGTGCTTTACTCCTTATTTTTCCTTGTTTATTTTGATGTATGTCTTACATATTTAAACACATTAACTTTGTGTTTAATGTTTGGAATCTAGAACCATTGCCTGTAAATGAGAGAATTTTGGAACGGACAGAAAAAGATCTCAGAAAAATCCTGGATACTTCAAATGAGTTAGATGATATCGAACCAGCACCCCACTGGTCTACACCTCGATCTGCTGCTTGTGACAGTAATATGGGAAGCATGCACTATAGTTGTCATAGCAATAAAAGTCAGCCTAGGTAAGTAACATCTAATTATCATTTATCCTGAACAGAAAAATTAATATTTATAAACTCAATAATGTAACACACAAAACACAAGTTTTTACTCTTTTGTATTCTAAGCCATTCCAGAAAATATTTAATTATATTTGGTTATAGAGTTATATAAAGATGCTAAAGCATTTTCATCTGGGTTTCACATTTTGTATTAACCAATGAGACCAAGTTACAATTACCTTTACATTTCCTATATTAAGTTTCCAAAAATGTGTGTGTTGCACAATTCCGACTGACATAAAATCTAGAAAATAGGGGTTGGTCTTTTTTTGGTAAACATGTTGTTTACAGAGCAGTTGTTAATTTCAGTTATCACTGTGTTTTGGTTACAACAATTTTCATTTTAACTATGTTGTCTGTAGTTTAGTAACATTTACAGTTAATAACCATTGAGCTTTAAGCTGTAAGAATAAATAAAACGGTATAACATTGTAAAGAAAAGTAATGTAAACATTGTATGTAAACATTAAAACATTACGTACTTACCAATGTTATTAGGAGTGACAGCAGATCTTCCTGCATCAGTTCCATAAATAAAAGACAGGAGAATGTGAGTGAAGATATGAAAACTCCTACAATGCCACAGGTAGTTGTCTATATCTCTATTATGTTTGTAATCAAACAAAACTGTTATTTTTATCATACTAAATGTATGTATGTAAAAAAATGTAAAGGTTCAAAACCTGAAGCAGGCCGGAGTGCCCGTCTCTTACTTTAGCATTTGGGCCAGACTGTGCAAGGCTGTAGGGGGTTTGCCACTCCTCCCGCACTGCAGTCTGTTTTACCTTCCTAGCATATGCCGGTACCCATTTATACACCTGGGTGGAGAGAGATAAACGTAGATAAAGTGTCTTGCCTAAGGACACAAGCAATTTGCACAGCGAGAGTTTTTAACCCCTGACCTCATGGTTGAGAGTCCGAGCCACAACCGTTGCGCCAACCACTTCTATGTATGTAGAAGCGGTTGGTACATATGTATGTATGTATGTGTGTATGTGTAAATGTATTTGCACAGTGAGTTGCAAAATCATAATGTGTCAATGTTTAAAAAGGGTACTGTATCTTTAATTTCGAAAAGAAAGATCAATTTTAATAGCTATTGCCACAGCAATAAATTCAGCATGCCAGTAGGCCTATATATGTCATTTTCAGTGAATAACACATAGCCTGTGTTATCCCAACCTTGATGTGAGGGTGGTAGTTGATTTCAAACATATTCATTTTGTTATTCATTTCACTTTGGAAATAGAGGGGAGATGGCTTCCAATATATCCACTTTGTTGATTTGATTGTATTCAAATTCTATTCATTTCACTTTATCATGTTGACTTTCTTTTTCAATGAGTGTCAACATATCTAATAAAATTATCCATTTCTTGATAAATTTAGACTCCTGACTTAAATAATGTAGCAGAACAGTTGTGCAGCTCAGTTGACTTATGTATGTTTCCTGGAAGAGGTAGATTATATTTACTTATTGTTATATTAAATATTATTTTCATCATCATGATTATTATTATATTTGCATAAAAGATTGATGGACGTGGAGTCCATATACACACTTCTAGTCTTGTGTTATTATTTTTTATGTTAGAAGGTGAGCCTCGAACCACTTGGTGGCAATGTGCACTATAAAGTACATTAAATTATTGTAAACTATTATCCTCATTTATTATATTTTCTAATTTAGTCTGATTTGTATGTTCCTGGTTTATCAATCATTATTTTTATTCTTTAGATTTATTCTCAGAAATACAGTTAGAACTAGTGAGAACATTGCGAATAAAGTAAGTAATTCTTTGGATCTGAAATCAATTTTTTTATCGGAAGTTGTAGATTTATGATACAATGCAGTAAGGTGGTGAAAGATGTTAATCAATTTTTAGCAGCTTAAATAATTTTTTTTCAATTATTTGTAGTTCTAAAACAACACCAAGTAAATCGACTCCAGCCATTAGACAGCAAGCGAGAAATTCTCAGTCTGCCAGAAGAAGTTTACAACCTTTGATCGCCAGAAGTGCGGGTAACTTTTCTTTTATCACACTCAATATTTTTTATTCCATATCTCATAATTGTTGCTACCAACAAAAGCATTTGCCAGTTGTTGCTGCCTCTTTCCATGTGTTGTGTGTCAGTGAAATTATCAACTTAGCAATGAGAATGGGCCAAGAATATGCCCATGCCCCATAAGCTCATAAGTTTTCCAACTCATTTTGTGGAACCTTAGTAACAATATCCAAGGACCATACTTAAAAACATTTTAATAATAAAAATAATTTTTTTAATAATAACATTTTAGGAGAGTTTTAAAAATAGTAAAAAAGTGATAGAAAACCATTAAAAATTTGACATGGAATCTAAGTTTCTGATCCTTTGTCTTTCTGATATCTAGAACAACTTCCACTTAACAACACCAGCCATCCATCTCTATCAGTTAGTACTATAAATGATGCAGTGATGATGGACAGCAGTGATAGAGTACAGGCACTCTTTAGGTCTTCTAAACAAACATTGAATGTATCGAATCACAATCAAAGGAGACATAGAAGTCATATACCATGTACAAAATCAAGACCTGATGGTAAGTACAGACTTAAAGATAAAAATTAGAATATTAGATTATCAGATATGATGATATTGGTAATGATCATGATGATGGTGTTGTCAGTGTTCTCATTATGAAACATACCTCTGAAATAATGGAATCATTTATCACAGTGGACAGTATATAATGTTACAGGTGAACCAAAAATATTCTTGTATGATAACTAGAGTGTGGATAACAATTTTTAAAAATAAAAAAAAATAGAAGGTGCACTCGCTTTTGCATTGTGCCCATAGGCTTTGAAATATGCGTATAGATACTATTTCAATGTATATTTTTGTGAACCTAAATTAAATTATGTATTCTATTTACTGTACTACAGGCCATCACTAGCTTCCATAAACCACATAAAAACTTTTGGTTTAAAAAAAGAAAGGTTCTATACAGGTAAATAATGCATACATTGATTATTGATAATTGTATTTGTATACCTTCCCATTTAGATGAACCTCCATTTAAGCTGTTTATGGATGAGACAGTACAACATGGCAGTGGTACCTACAGTGAACATGGAATCCACAAGCAGGTAAGCATGCATTATACATTCATCTCGTATTGTATGTAGAAGCAACATCCTCGACAGTGGAGTCCACAACCACCTCAGCTCCACCATTTTTGGAGCTGAGATGAGCAAATTTATAAGACTAGGCACCTTTCAGACTGCAAATGTTTTTTGAAAGCAGTGTTGCTGGACGAAACAATCAGCTTCTTCTCCGACAATGGGACCATGGTGCCCTGCGGGGTGGGGGTCCTGTTCTCTTCCGACGACGCTGCCCCTACTGCCTTGTATGGTTTTCACACTGGTTGTGATGTACCATTATTGTATTTAAACTAAGTTATAGGTTTGAACTTGTACTATAGGTAGGTTTATTGACAAGATAATTTTCATCTGTTTCTACATATTTGTCAAACAATGAGCGTGAATATGAGACTGAATGTATTTCCACACAGATTAAGACATCGAATAGTTTTTTAAGTGGGACAATACTTGACTTTGCCGAGAACAGTCATTTCCAGGATAAGTTAGCGACAGATTTTAGTCTTAATGCAATGGACATGACCAGGAAATTTGAAAAGGCAATAATGACATCACAGGAACCAATGACTACTCACGTAAGTTTAAGAATATTCTTCCATTTACATAATTTAAATTTGTGTGGCAGCAAACAACATAGAACAGGAACATGCTCTTTGAAAATTTGGTCTGCAAACTTAGGGCCACTGTCACATAATTTAAATTTGTGTGGCAGCAAACAACATAGAACAGGAACATGCTCTTTGAAAATTTGGTCTGCAAACATAGGGCCACTGTCACATAATTTAAATTTGTGTGGCAGCAAACAACATAGAACAGGAACATGCTCTTTGAAAATTTGGTCTGCAAACATAGGGCCACTGTCATCAATAATGTATACCTCCTTCTCTACTACAGTATACATTTGCAATAAAGTATATATATTTATATATACTGTACTAATATTTTTAATCAGCCATTCAAAATGGAGTGGAGTTGAATAACTTGGTAGGTAAGATGCTCGCCTTCCAATCGCAGGGTCGTGGTTTAAATCCTGTCCTTGATTTTTTTCTCACGACAAAATAATTCCACTCCATAAGCCTCATGGGACTTAGTTTATGTAGAGCATTATGTGTGTATGTTTCTCATGTGAAGTGATTGCCACCTATCTAATAGAACAGTGATTAAGTTGCTATTGGTAATCCTTGGCCATGTGCCTAAAGGAATTAAATAACAAAAATAAATTAAATAAAATAACAGAGCATTAATGGTAAGAATATTTGTATTATTAGGATAATAATAATAAAAATATTATAAATAATTATTTAATTCAAGATAGTTTGCATTGTATTTTTATATCTTTCTTTTTTGTTTTTATTAAAAGCACGCAATTAAAGCAAAGTTTGGTAATAAGCTATGACACTTTACTGTTTAAGATTTTTATGGTAAAAATTTAGAGATTGATGAATAATGGAGATAAAGTAAAGGATCTCCTTGGTGGTTGGTTAAGAGGCAGCTTATTAAAGAATTCTATTCATTTATTTCAGATGCCATACAGTAGCAGTTTAGATTTTCTTGATGAAATGGACAGAGGTCCCTTGCATAATAGTACCATACCTATTCCTCGCTTTGATCACCAGAGTCGTTCAGAGGCCACGAAGAGTGTATTTTCCGAGGATAATTTCAGTTGTCCTAATCAAGATCCCAGCAGTCCCCATACCTTACCTCATTTCACTACCCACACTGAAGATCTATTTTATGAGCCTCGCATAATGCCAGAGATGATGTCACCTATTAATGACAACATCCATTACTATCCTGAGATAAAACAAGCTCGCTGTCATAAGAGAAGGTGCCGACATGCTAGTGATAGTGATGAGTCCCCGGTGCTGTGCTACAAGTGCTTAAACCCCATTACAGTCTCAAGCATGGGTAAAAGCTACTCGCCTAAGTTTCATCCCCAAAGAATGTATTGAAGATATGAATATATTATATAGAAAATTTATTTAGAAATATATCAATTATTTAGATACTGAAGTATATGTGTAGTACACATTTTTTTTTAAATATGGCGTTTTCTCTTTAGTTTTATTTATGCGCCATGTACCATATATACTGTACTGTATTCTTGGTTTTAACACTGTAATCTTTTGATTAATTCATTCAAATGTCTATGGTATGAACTGTAAACTACATGATTTGATGTATATATAGTAAGAATAATAAATTAACTTGTTTGAAATTTGTTGAGTGTTTTATCATTATTTTTACAGCAATCCAAGCATATAATTAGGGCCTGTGGTTATGGTATAATCCATCATCATCCTTTACCAATATTGAATTATTCTATTTTATATATTTCCCATTATAGCAAGGTGTTTCCAGCAACTGAACATATAGTTTTATTGCTATATGGTGCCAAAACTTAAAGAGTGTACTTTAACTTCCAATTGGATTTGTATACAATATTAATTACATGTAATCATTTTCAAAGATTCGTCTTGGTAATGATGTAAATGTACAGTTGTAATACATATGTAATCAGGCCCGGAAAACTTTATCTTAACCACATTACTATTATACAGACATGAAGATAGCACAGACCCAAAATGATCAGACAATTAAATACAGTAAGCTATAAATTATTGAAACAATTTTTATAGTACGTGGTATAATATACAATATTTATAACATGCCAGCATCCTGTACAATATACATTACACTGAAATATACATTGTATATTTACAAATTAAACTAATGAATTCAGCAATGTGTATTTAAAACAACCTTGTAGAGTTTAGAATTAAAGGAATATACAGTATAAAGTAATAAATGGGTTGAACATATCCCGTAAACCATCCATTATAGTGGAATGAGTGGCTTATCTCGAAGCATTTATGAGGCTACAATATTAAGGGTTTGAGAGTTTCTAGTTGATCTGTTACAAAATGTATAGAATAGGGGAGTTATATGGTTCCACTAAGGAGGTTATTGATTTAGCTCAAGTTATTCCTGCCAGAGCTAAGTGGCTTATACAGACATCTATTGAATTGGTTGAAGGTAGGACTAGGGTTTCCAAGTGATCACCCTGACAGCAATTTTGGCAGCTCCCCTGACAGCCTCGGTTGGTTCATTTTCCTCATGGGCTCTCTTCTCAATCTGCAAGGGAGATGGCATGAGTTGTAATAATAAATTTCTATAATCTTTATTAATTGCTGTAAACATTAACTTACATGTACTGTACTTACATTTTCTACATGTTTTAATAATGCTGTCCGTGCCTGTGGGGCTTCTGACAGAGTGGTAATAGCCTGGAATGGAAGAGACAAATTTCTTTAAATGTACAGTAATAACAAAAAAAACTATAACAATTAGTATCCTAATAGGTCTTCACTTAAATCCATGGTCCTGGGCTCAAATCCAGGGTCCTAGGTTCAAATCCAGAGTCCTGTGAAAACATTTAAAAAACTCCACTTTCTAAAGCGGTATTCATAATACAACAATACATTCTTTCATCTTATACAGGACCTTACCACTCAGCCACTTGGATATTGTTGCGGAGGTCCTTCAAAATGCAGCCCGGTAACATACAGTCTCAAACTAGTGAGACAAGCACATATTCCTGGCCCGTCTATTGAATAAAATACTGTGATTGATCAGTTCCATTACTGTAGTATGTTGCTTAAAAGGGGGGGGGGGAAACTATTAACTTGGTTTTTGGTTCTATTGGGCATGATCTAATTGAATGTGCCACTTGCAGTCAATGTGTGTTTTAATTTCACAAAATTAATTATACTCCAACCAATTTGATTGCATTGTACAGTATTTACCTTGATAGCATTTAGTCTGACCTCGCTGGTGGGATCGTTAACCAGAGTCACAAGCTGTGGAATTGCGTCTGCCCTGAGGGCTTTCTGTTTCCCCTCAGTTGTGATAGTTATTCTATTATGGTACAGAAACAAGGCATGAACCACATTAAAAAAAGCATGTTATAGTTCTTAATAATAATTATCTCATTAAGTAATGCAGAAGGGTACACATGCATTATTTCTGATGACAATAACTGTAATATCCATACTGTAAATTTTTTCAGAAAAACATTGTTTGAATTATGCATTGATGCAGATTACGTTCATCCTAATTCTATAGTATGGTTATAACAAGAATGTATTATTGTTAATGTATTACTGTACTTGCATGTATTGACCCACCAACCTACTACACCCCTACAAAAAAAATGGAAAGGGCAAGCTTACGTTGCTATGGCTCCAGATGCTTTTGCACGGACGTCTGTGTCATCATCACTGAGTAGCTTCACAAGAAATGCTAAGCTGTTACACTCGCAGGCTTTTTTTTTACCATCCAGAGGAACGCTACTCAAAGAAATATTTAGTTTTATACAAACATTTTACATAGGCTTATGTTTGTTTCTCTTGAATTGTTTTACAAGCTATATTTTGGAGTACTTTTTGTTGTGGTTTATATACATAAAGATATGAGAGCTAAAGGGAATGAGTACAAGTGGCTTCCACTAGTATTACCATCTTTTGTGTCTTCACAATCATAAAGCTATTTAAGGTCATGTGAAATGGGGACCAGATCCCCACAAGCACAACATATTCAGAATAGGTAAATGAGAGTGCTAATTTCAATATATTCCTTGAAATTTTAAAATTTAGTGGCAAAACTAGGAGAATGTTTCCCCTTGTGTCACCCTACTGGATCCACCCTTGTCTACCCCACACAAAAACAGTAAAACAGATGATGGTTCCTCCCTTAATAATACCTTCATAGTCCTTTACGTACCTTAAGTCCATGATGTCCCTCGCTGCTCTGGCTCTGATGACTGGTGACTTGTGCTCCAAAAGTTCTGTGAAAACTTCCATTGCACCTGCTATGAGAGCTTGAATCTGCTCCAGTCTCATACAGAAGTGCAATGTGTCTAAAATGTACTCCTAAGGAAAAAAATATTACAGAATCAGTGGTAACTTAGATATATTTAAATAGCATATTCTATACAAAAGCCAAAGACTAAATGAAGCCCTAAATGAAATAGAATTCATCAGTTGTTAATTAGGAATTAACGTCCAAATTAACAATCACATCGGAAACACGTCATCATTTAACACAATTGAAAGATATTAAAACTAAATATTATCATGAAAAACAGCATTATGATAGTGAATAAAGTATTATAACAACAAATTTCATAGTAATCAAGCCACCTCACCTTGATCTCATCTACTTCAATCTTGAGTTTATCAACAAGCGTTGGGATAAGGCTAGCCTCAACCAATCCCTCAGCACCAGGGTAAAACTCACAAAGCATTTCAATTGCCATATGCGCATTTTTTCTGACTATATACAGATCGTCATCGAACAGTCTTGAAAGAGGGACAATAATACTCTCATCCATAAATGCATCACGACCACTGTTGTGACCTAGGAAAAGGTTATTTGTAATAATTACTGTTATATCGTAAATACTTTAAAAAAATTTTGAATACAGTAATCAAATATAAAAGTAAATGCAGACTCATTAAAAAGTGTGAAAAGTGATAATAGATATTTCATCAATGTTAACAGAATAATAAAATGTGTTAATTTTATATTAACTAATTTTGTGACTTTATTATAGTGAACACTGGCTTAATTAGCTTTAAGTAAACTGAAACCATCTCCATCACAGGACAGGTCCACCTGGTGAAATTGTAATCATAGGTTCTGAAAAGGAAGGGCTACACATTATAACAACCATCCCCCCCCCCCCCCCCCCACTCTCCCCTTCTTGAACATAGATTATGGAACTATGATCAAGCTCTCTGTTCACATTTGAGATCAAATTAACTTATAATTTAAAAAAATATAATGTAAATATCATTTATGTACTTTGCAACAATTAGTGCTCTGTGCTTTTTAAGTTCACCCACCTGAGATAATATAGAGAACTTCTGTAGTTTTATTTCTTACTGTGCCATCTGGATCTGTTAAAAGCGCCTTTAAACTTGCCACTACACCTAGAGATGGAATAAGACATTCGTCAGTGCCTTCACAAATCAATACCGGTAATATATAGAGTACTACACGATACCATGTGATACTACTCCATTGCTATCATTGCAAAAAGCGTTCAACCGGACGCCATTTTCTTTACTGACAAACCAATTCCTAACGTTAAATTATTAAGATGTTGTATCCTACTTTTTCTTTGTAAATTTTAATTGATGATTAAATGTGTGTCCGATAGCTAATATAATGCGAGCTTTTCTGTTTTTAGTACATTTTGATGGTAAAATATTAGATTTTAAAATGCCTATTCCAGAAAGCCTATGAAGTCATTCAGGCGTAATGAACGGTAACCAACATCTGTTGACAACAGAAAGCGCCACCTGGTGCCATGACGACACGACTGTAGTACTCTATATAAAAAAATAACAAACCATTTTTATGCAAAAAAAACAATTCATTATGAAGTTGTAGTCATCATTTATAAATGAAAAAAAACCCGATGTATTCAGTGTATAAATGAATAAGACATGAAAAGAGCATATATACGAATGTATGAAAATCACAAACGAGATTTTGTTTTTATCAATATGATTTAAATTCAAAAGAGGGCGGAACAACAAGAACCAAAGCATTAAGTCAAGGCCATAACGATTTTGGGACGAATATCTGTAAAGAGACAAAATGGCTTGAAACAGTCCTAAAACTTACCAACTCTTAATGCTTCCACTATATGTTCAGGATCATGAAGATAATCACATAATGTCATCAAGGCTCGTTGCCTTGTGATTAGTTCTGGATCTTTAAGTTCGCGGTTCTGTTGAATAAGTTTAAAAGGCAATAGCTTTATAAGTTTAGCTGTTTAGGCCTATATTGCATTGTATCTGACAAACCTACAGCCAAGCCTGAGATGGTACATTTATCTAGCCTAATAATAAGCCTAATCAGAAAGTTTTCTGGACAAACCGTTCTTTAAGTGACTACTGTTTTGGTTACAGAAAAATAACATAAATATTTATATGTAAATGTAAATCTTATATTTAAAAACATACAATTATTTATTTATACACACAACCACACCCCATGCATGTGGTATCACAGATTAGCGATCATTTGTTATAAATAAACAGATGAAACTGATAAAAATAAAAGCATGATTTGTCTTTGTTTTGTTTAACAAATATGATGCTGAGGCTCTAAATTTGCATTATTGGCAATGATGGCGTTCCATATCCCATCCATAACTTAGTGAGCCCGCGATGTGACCAATTTTAATGAATAAAGTCATTAAAGAAAGCCTAGCTAGGCATATAGGCCTATCTCTGCACTACAAAAACAAGCAAGAAGTATTAATTATAATTAATAAAAGCTTCGATAAACCTGCATAGCCCTGTTTAACTGAGCTAGACTAGGCCTCTAGGCCTAGGAGGGCCTACAAATAATATGGGCCTATGCTAGGCCTAGTAGTAGTAGTAGCTAGTAGTATAGTAGTAAGGCCTAGGCCCTATCTGTGTAGGCCTATGTGGGATCGTCTATTGACTCACCAGCTTCGGAAGCGCTCTGTCACCATATGCAAGCGGTGCTTTAGTTTGGTCGATGTTGGGTGGAAGACGGGCAGATATTCTTGAAGATGCCATGATAGTAAATTACTCAGTAATTATTAAAAATCATGAACAAAGCTTTGTTTTCGCAACTTCCAATATTCTGGTTACGGGCCGCTAGAGCAAGATGTTGATTGTTGCTAGGAGGCTAGGATTGAATGGCACATGCGCACTTGACACTCTCAGAATGACTATCATAAAAGAGGGCAGCAATTTCTTTAGAATGAATGTCCACGTTGCTCATTTTTTAGGCCTACAAAGGAGTAGGCCTAATAATCTAATACAATACTAAAAACTTATTTGTCCAAAAGGAAATTTGTTGCGTACAGATACAGATTTCTTTATTGTAAAAAATAAATTGGAAATTGCAATGCTCATGACTGCCTGTCGGCTAATACAAAAGTTCAATTAAATTAATCTATAGGTATTTTGTCTCTAGTGACACGGTTTATCTGTGTAGGTATTAAAAACATTTGTATATTGCATCATAAATTAAAGCGTTCAGGTATTATTACATTGTACATTAAACGCTTAAAAGCCAAAAAGTGTCTGAACATTAAAAAAGGTAGATAAAATATATAAAATCTAATTGAGTCAGTAAACACAGACGTAATATAGTTAAAATACATCCCACACGTAATATAAAACAGGAACATAACATCTTAATTTTAAATCGTTTAAATTAAAAATAATTGAATTAAAATCTAACTGTGCTATAGGTTATATAAAGCAAATTCATTTGCATTAAATTGCACATTTTCAAAAATAAATTGCAGCTTCAGAAGTTCGGAGATTTAAATTGAACGCAAGTCCGGCAAACCATGACTTTACGATAGCTCACATAAGGATGGCAAACATCGATAAAAACTTTCACTGGCCTTTGGCTGAATGTTTGAAGAAATGTACCAACCGTTTGGCGCCACCAAACGAAGATAAAGTTTTGCGACTTAATCCACCAAATGCAGCTAAAGTTTTGCGACTTAATTATTGTGGATTGTGTGGTTAGTAAATTCCATAGCCATACTGTCCATAGCGCACACTAAACTATTTGCTGATGGAGCATTTTTTTGGGAAATTGACTCTACTTTTTTCCATCCCAAACAACATAATATTAATAAATCAACATGGTCCATCTCAGTCATCATAGCGAGTCACAAATTTAGGAAGTTTGTTTTCAACAGCAGACACACACAACAAAACAGAGTGCGTCAAAATCTAAAAAATACGTACTGGCATTTTGTAATACACATTCCCTTGTTGAGTATGACATGTTTCATTAACGTAACATACACTGAGGATCGCCAACGAATTGGGTGGGTATTCAAACTTTTACGATATGGTGAACTATTTCGATTGAAATGTTAAAGTGGTTATATAAGAATTAGATGAGTCACTGTCAATAAAACAATTCGCGGAAGAGGAGTATTCAAAATATCGGTACTGTTAATATGGGACTAATCAGATGACTGACGCCGTTCTCCATCGACAATTGATTTTATGTGCATTATTTATCTACAATTCTTATCTACAGTATATTTTACACTCGTTACCAACAACGACATCTAAATAGCTGTGGGAAAAAAAAATTATCATCCTGCTGCTCTCTGCCTGAATAGTGATCGTAACCGAACAACAATGATGCAGCAACACGCTTGGTCAACTTGTAAAAATTTAGAGCCTTCTGCTGTTTGCCCATAAAACAAATTTTGGAGTGTTATACAGTACAATTTCAAAACAATGTCATCGTAAAGAAACAGCTATAGTATTGAAAACAGACAACTTAAAAGAAAATCTGTGTACGGATTTAAATAAATATTTACAATAGATTTTAATGGTCAATTTATTGTCAAATTTTACGACCAATTTTTGCATACATTTGTGAGTGACGGTGTGTAATAGACATGCAAAACAAACATTAGCGGTTAGCTGTATAATATCTTTGAATATCGTTTTAGACTGATTCATTCATATGCTTGGTCATCTTGTAATCATTTAGAATTCAACAGTTTTTAATAATAGGGTCCGTATCTTCTAGATGTAGTATCAAATTATAATTGCCATAGACCCGGTTTCATACACACTCGCTTAAGTAAATATCAAAGGAAACTGTTTTCCCATTTTTTCTTATTGTTAAATACTCCTATGCAAATACTGTAGTCCCCTGGTATAAAATTGACAGATCAGTTAGACACTCTGAAAAGAGGTAGTGGCTATCGGCACTGCCGCAGTGCCGATTTGGCACTGCCGCAGTGCCAAAAAAGCTCCTGTTTTCTATCGGCACTGCCGCAGTGCCAAAAAGCTGCCATTTTCTATCGGCACTGCCGCAGTGCCAAAAAGTTGCTGTTTTCTATCGGCACTGCCACAGTGCGAAAAGCTGCTGTTAATTAATCGAATCGATGTTTTTATCAATAGATGACATTGGTATAATTCATAATTCACAGTTTTATTTCACTCAAAACGTAATGGGACTGGTTAGGCTAAAAGAAACATGTCCCTGTACAAGACGCCTTAAAGAGAAACAATGATAATGTTAATGGCAAAGACATAATAATAATAATAATAATAATAATAATAATAATAATATTACAGATAATAATAATAATTAAATAATAATAAAAAGTAAATGATAATAATAATAAATGAAGATCAAAATATATCATTGAAGTGAATAGTTTGATTAATGAAATAGTAATAATCAGCATATTAAATAAAATTACGTCCATGCAAAACCTGCTTTTAAATAAAAACGTTATCTATTTGATTGTTTTCAAAAATAATCTTATAAATTATAAGTTTATTTTCTGCGATAATTTTATGCACATATGCATATTCATGTTTTCAATGTTAATCTGGTTGATAAAATAATAATATATAAAAAAATAAATAAATAAATAATAATAATAATAATAATAAAGGTGCTCGAATAATGCTTTAGAGAATAATTAGTAATACTGTACTTCAATAATGCTTCAATAGGCCTATTTACGATAGTGTGATTAATGAGATAATTTTTGATTAAGTTATAGAAATATAATAGGTAGGCCTATATACCAATAATACTGATTCAGCATATTAAATCAACAATACGTCGTAAATTGAAAATTTCTTTGGTTTAATAATACAGTAATAATAATAATAATAATAATAATAATAATAATAATAATTTTACGATAGTTTGATTAATGAAATAGTAATAATCAACATATTAAACAAAATTACGTACATGCAAAACCTGCTTTTAAATAAAAACATTATCTATTTGATTTTGTTTTAAAAAATAATCTTATAAATTATAAGTTTATTTTCTGCGATAATTTTATCCACATATGCATATTCATGTTTTCAATGTTAATATGGTTGAATAATAATATGTATATATACATATATATATATATATATAAATAAAATAATAATAATAATAAAGGTGCTCGAATAATGCTTTAGTGAATAATTAATAATACTTCAATTATGCTTCAATAGGCCTATTTACGACAGTGTAATTAATGAGATAATTGTTGATTAATTTATAGAAATATAATAGGTGGGCCTATATACCATTAATAATGATTCAGCATATTAAATCAACAATACGTCGTAAATGTAAAAT